GGGCATCAGCAGCAAACACACCGGCCCTTTTTCAGCTCATTTTCCCCTGGTCCTTTCGCTTGATTTTGAATTTCTGCCCCTCAATCGACAGTGGAGATTTTGGGAGAAACAAAGTCGAGACATGCAGGAACCGTTGCTCACCTGTTGGCGCTAGAATTAAGCGAGGCCCAAAACAGTACAGAAGGGGGGCGTTACGTCAGCAGCCGAAGATGCTGCGATGGCTGCAATTGGCCGGGGAAGAAGGCGCCGGGAACGTCGTTCCTCGTGCCGGGAAATTGGGCAAATCGACCATCCTTGTCGATCCCAAGAATTCACCCCCCTGGTCATTATTGTCTGTTCTCTTGCAGATTTCCGATTCATCACTCTCGCCTGACAAGGCCCCAGGTCCCAGAGGTTCCAGAGAGGGTCCATCCAATGTCCGTTGCGACGGGAGAGAGAGTGGAAATTGTGGTAGGTTTGTCATTGTTTGCTTCCTCTTCTTTCTCTGCTTCTCGTGTGTGTGTGTGTGTGTGCAAACTACAAACAGCGATCCGAATACCTAGCTGACTGGAACTCGACCATCAACAGCTAGCTACCTACTCGAACGCGAAATCTGCCCGCCGTTTGGCACACGAGAAACCGCGACGTTGCGTCATCCCAACTTGAAATTACCTTCGTTAGTTCCCGACCCGTTTAGGAGCAAACGGAGCAGCCTCCCACGCGCCAAAGCAACGCTAGACTATTGCCGACTGTCAGTGCGCAAACTTCGATATTTCCACAGGAATTATTCCCCCAAACTTCTTCTTATTCCACGCTCCTGAGCGTTCAGGAAGCACCTTTTCGACCTTCTCCATGCTCTCAGAGCTGTAGGACACATACCATATCCGCCAGAATGGACGAGAAGCAGGCACCTGGGAGGCCTAGTGGGATTCCTCGCATGTCCCGTCTGCCTCTTCCAAGAACGGCAGCTCCAGCTCCCGCCCCAGCTCCCGCTGTTCGACCATCTCCATCGCGAGAAGGCCTGAATTCGAGTATACGGAATCCCCGCCTCCGCCCAGCTGCTTCACGAGACCAATTGGCCCCAGCCGCTGCTCTCAAGCAACCGGAACCTCGCACCATCCCTACAAGACCGAAACGCGAAATTCAGCCTCCAACCACGAGAAAGACGGAACTAAAAGCTCCCGCTGCTACACTGAGATCTTCCCGAAGTGTGCCTCGACTGCAATCAAAGGAATCGATAATCCAGAAACCCCCTACACCCCCAGAAGAACCCCAACGATCCTTCACTCCGCGCTCGACAAGCGTTACGCGAAGCCCGTCAGAGGACAATGTCGCCACCCCAAGCTCAAGTCGTCTGGGCGATCCGATCACCTTGACGAAAGACACGAGTAGCCCACAAGTCGCCGATGATGATGCCGAGCCTGATCTTCCAGACTTTGACACGCTGAGGACGACACCTTTCAAACCTCGTCCGTCCCTCTCCGAGCGAACAATCGAGACTCTTCAACAACTACAATCCTCACCCTCTCTCAGCAAGAAGACGTCCACGTTCTTCGACCCAGATGGCACCATGCGACCTCGCTCACGCGCCGGCAGCGGCCACTCGAGACCTGGCTCAAGCTACACCTCCGATGGCTCCATGCGGCCCACGTCACGGCACAGCAGGCCAGGCTCGAGCTCTGGTGCTGAAGAGAATCCATTCGCCAATGCTCGACCGGCTGCGAACGCGTATCGACCTCTGGGCGCTATTGAAGGTACCCCTGCTCGCCGTGTATCTAGCATCCGTTCCCTCCGAGCACCATCGATGAGAGCTACGCCGCAGTCGTCACCTTCCGCGCCGTCAACTACTTCGGCGATACCAGTCACTCAGAGTCCCAGCCCAACGAGACCGACTGGAATCATGGCACCACCACCCAAGGCTGGAGCAAAGACGCTCGCAGCTCGCCCTCTAAAGCCCCGCGCCTCGGTCCAAGGACTATACAAGAAGCCTTCGCTGCCAACAATGACCCAGCCAGCTCCAGCGTCTATAGCTTCGCCTCAACCCAAGAAACTGACGCCGTCCAAGTCTTATGGATCTCTCCGAAGGCCCGGACCGTCCAAGATTGGTGCTCCGGCTCCTGCTGCTTCGAAAGATGCCGATGAATCCGGTGAGAATGCGGCGACAAAGTCATCCAACGCTCTGCGGGAACAGATTGCCAAGGCTCGGGCGGCCAAGCGCGCCGCAGATCGACAAGCTGCGGAGGCAGCATCAGCTCCAAGCGCGGCCCCGGTTGCAGACTCTTCTGCGCCGGCTCAGCCTGAGCCACCCATCATCCCACAGGACGACGGCTTCGACTTTGGCATCGCTATCACGCAAGACCCTTTCAACACCAAGAGATCGGAGAACTCTCAGAAGAAGGTTATTCAACAACGGCTCGGCACTGCCCGCAGCAGTGGCAGACTCAACATCGCGGCCATGGGTCTCAAGGAGATCCCAGTCGAGGTTCTCAAGATGTACGACTCAGAGTCCATGGGCACTTACGATGGCTCATGGGCTGAGACTGTTGATCTGACTCGCTTCGTAGCTGCGGATAACGAGCTGGAGACTATCGATGGCACCATCTTCCCAGATGTCACAGCAGAGGAAATGGCACAGGATGAAGACTCGAACGGCAACATCTTTGGCGGCTTAGAGGCGATGGACTTGCACGGCAACTCGCTAATCTCTTTGCCGATGGGATTGAGACAGCTTCCTCTGCTCACGTCTCTCAACCTGGTAAGCCAACACCTGCGACCCTGAGTGTCAAACTTAACTAACAAAAATAGTCGCAAAATCGCCTCGCAAATAACTGCCTAGAAGTCATCACCCAGGTCAAGGCCCTCCGAGACTTGAAGCTCGCTAACAACCTTCTTTACGGACCTCTCGACCCCATTTTTTCCAATCTTGAGAACCTCGAAATCTTCGATCTTCACGGAAACAACGTGTCATCTCTTCCTCCTGGCATCGAAAGTCTATCCAGGCTGCGCGTTCTTAATTTGAGCGAGAACAGCTTCGAATCCCTGCCTTTTGCGAGTCTGTCCAAGCTCCCACTGACGGAATTGCTGGTGAAGAAGAACAAGCTCACAGGCACGCTGATTGAAGATGGGGCCGAGTCCCTTCCAACCCTGCAGATGCTCGACCTATCATGCAACCAGTTGACACGCTTGGTACCTTCAGGATCAGTCATCAACCTGCCTGTTGTCCATCAACTCATCATCTCGATGAACCGCATACAAGAGCTACCCGACGTCAGCTCCTGGTGCAGCCTCATGACCCTGAACGCCGACGAGAACGCTATCCCCGAATTCCCTCAAGGCTTCACCGCTCTTGAGAAGCTTAGGCATGTTGACTTTTCTGCCAACGACATTCGTGTGGTACCACCCGAAATTAGCAGGATGGACAACTTGACCATGATTCGGCTCGCTGGCAACCCGTTGCGCGACAAGAAGTTTGTCTCTGCCACCACGGAAGAGCTGAAGGAAGTCCTAGCCGGCAGGCTTGAGCCGCCTCCGCCATTCAAGAACGAGGATACCGCTGTACCTGACGAGGCACATCTTGACGAACCCCGTGACATTCAACCAGGCACTACTACCGCACCAGCAGCCGGAGCTTCAGTTCGCGATAACCACTCGGACGAGGATGACTTCGCTACCCCTCCCACCTCTTCGCCGACATCACCGGCACGAGCGCGCTCGCAAACGCTAGCCAATGAGACATGGCCCGTGAAGCAAGGTGTCCTGGACCGATCAAATACCAAATCAGCTTCGTTGCACCCTGTGGTGTGTTCCAAGGTCGCGGCCGACAACAAGGTCATCGAGATCCAGCTGCATCACAACCTTTTCACCTGCTTCCCGAACTCTCTGTCCTTCTTTGCCGATTCTCTTGCCGCTCTGTCTCTCGCGCACAACCAGCTGGTTGGCGAATCCTACTTGACTGAGGAGCTTGACCTTCCAGCACTGCGTGAGCTGAACCTTGTCAGTAATCACATCACCAGCCTTTCGCCGTTGACTACGCACTTGGTTGCCCCGCAGCTGGAGAAGATGGACGTTTCGTTGAATCGCATCACTGCCCTTCCGCCTGACTTGCGCTCGGTATTCCCCCGGCTCGTCGTCCTTTTGGCAGCAAACAACCACTTGATTGAGCTCGACCCAGACACCATCAAGGGCATGGAGGTTGTCGATGCTGGTAATAACGACATTGCACACTTGAACCCGAGACTTGGCCTTCTAGGTGGCACTGGCGGGCTCAAGCGTCTAGAGGTCGCTGGCAACCGCTTCAGAGTTCCTAGGTGGAACGTTCTTGAACGGGGTACAGACGCTACCCTGCGGTGGCTCAGAGGGCGGGTCCCAGTAGCGGAGATGGCATCGTGGAAGATCAGCGAGGGTGACACGGGCAACACTTCCGACACCAGCCTCGACGATGTGGACTAAGGGTTTCTTCTGGCTGGAAGAGTTCAGCATCACTGCAAGGTTATGGGGGAGAAGGCTTTTCGGTTTCATTCGGTTTGAATTTTGGGGGCTGCTTTGGGGGTCTTTCGGGAGCTGTCGTTTCGCTTCACGCACATACTTTTTTCTTACTCGTGGCACCACAATACCATGTTGAGCTTTCCATGGAGTTGAGGGGAGATCTTTGCGACAACAGTCGCCTGATATCCTGTACCAGTACTGTATAATACTATAGACATAATAATGGGACGGTGGCATTCCGTCACAGCAAAGTTTCTGTTCCCAACGTTCTTTCGATGCCTATTTCTTATTGACTTTTCACGATGCGTTAGTAGAGTGTGTCGCCGGAGAGGTCCTCGAGATTGTGCAGAAGTCTTTCTCCGATCTTTTCTTCATGTGATATTAAACATCGCACCCAAATCCTCCATACGTAAACTTCCATTCTTTATTTCAGCATCCCACATCCATCAGATACAAGTTCGTTCTATAAGCAGCAAGAATAATTTCTTTCGTCTGACTTCTCTACCGCAAGACATCATCCGTCACAACCTATCGCAATGGCAACTGCAATGGCTTCAATCCGGGCGGCTACGTCCCGTCCCATCAAGAACGTCAACTCCTTCTACACCGACTACCTCCACATCGTCAAAGCCTCCGGCGAACAGTCCGGCCGCGACATGAACTACGACGAGGAGAAGCAGTTGTCCTCGTCCACCCAGGGAAACACCACCGACATGGACTCTGAACCTCTCACCTGTTTCGATACCACAGCCATCGGCCTCGTCGTAATCTACGCCGTGTTCTTGGTCACCTTCAGCGCCTACACCTTGCGTGACGTCATCCGCGAACCCTCGGAACAATACGTCTTGGACCCCGAGGTCTTCAAGACCATTGCGGCGGCGGTGTATCTCCTCCACGGTGCTCTCTACTTCTGTTATTCGACCTATGTCGGCTTCATATTTGTAGGACAGACGGAGGAGAAGGACAAGACTGAGAGTGCTGCCGAGGCGTATGCCGCTGCACAGACGTTTGCGGACGATGATACCGGCGGCTGGTGGTGGGAGCCGTGTCTCTCGGCCGAGGCTATCGATACCCTGATTCGCATCCAAATCGCCATCTTCGTCGTCGCCTTCTGGCCTCTGTTTATGGTCTACAACTTTGCGGCCATCACCTGCAATGACTTTCAGCGCTGCACAGCCACTCAAGGCGTTGACCGGGAGATTGCTCCCCGCGCCGCCTGCTCTGCTGGCAACCGCGCTCGGGAGAATCAATGTAAGAGGACCTCTGAGATCTCTGAGAAGGAGCCGTTGCTTGGGCAGAGGCTGACTGCGTCAGAGATCGTGGCGATTGAGAATGAGGCGGCGGCGGCTGAGGTGTGGAGGATGTATAAGGCTAGGATGGTTGAGCAGAAGCCATATGCTCCTGCCGTCAAGGAGTAGGGGGTGGGTTCTTCATGTCTGGCTAAGGGGTTGCTAAGGGCATCGCGGTCACATCATTTGGTGGCCATGAGCAAGTGGACTGTATTCATTGTTAAAAGTTGCAGTTTTAGTGAATTGAAGTCATCGAATAGATCTTGGTTGTTCTCAGTGCTGGTACTGATACATCCTTAGTCCAGGTAAGCCCTTTACTTGTGGTCCACAGGCAGGTTGAAGTCGGACTGGCAGTCATCAGTCACAGCCATCGTGAGATACTTTCATGAATCACATCATGAAGATCGATTTAAACTGGCCTGCAGTAATAAGACCTGGTATCAAGCATTCTTACGAGCATGGCCAACCATGAAGGGCCTTACTCTTCTTTAGATTTCCTTTGAGGAGATTTGATTGGGCTCTTTCCACTCCACGTTACCTCCCTCAATATCATTGATCATCTGCTATCTGGATAGCCTTTCAAGGTGCACGAAGAAATCTCTTCCACAATCTGACACATCAGTTGTGTACACCTTTGAGGCTTATTGTCAATTGACCTGGACGGACTTTACGAGGGGAGAGGGACAGGATGCCCCTTACACGATCCATCACCACCCTGCGCCGTCAATGCGTCGAAAGACGCTAAACTCCTGTTCCTGAAAGTTTGCTTGAAAGTAGTGGGCTTGCAAGGCGAATCCTATCAAGGTTGCGGCTCCCGACAGATGCCATGCAAAGCGGATGTTGACCACAGAGGTATGATTTGACTTCACGGCACCAACGGGTAGACTAACTATCTTCAATTAAACCGTGACCTCTTACCCTATGTCGTTGAGATGCAATCGCAGATAGACATGCTCTACCCTATATAAACCCTTCCCGTGTGTCCCAGCCTGGCCAGCATCGTGCTTGAACACCTCGGTCTCGACACCACTTCTCACCTACAATCTCTCTCTTCCGATTATCCCGCTAGGAATACAAAGCAAGCAAAAACAAGACACCGAGGCCTGAAGCCACCACAACTTTCACCGTCCAATACCACTATTCCTTCCTCCGCCTAACAAAGATAGCTCCTACTCCTCCTGCTCCTGGTGCCGGCCTCAGCGCCGGCATACGAGACGACGATTGCAACTTTCGGAACACCATAATTATAGCGGCGGCGTGCGTGATCTACACTATCTCGGCGCTCATCTTCTACGCCTTCCTCAATAGGTGCCGTTTCTTTCCTGGATGGTACGAGAGCTCAGAGAAAAGACTGCAACACAAGGTCTTGCTGGTCTTGTGGCTTCCTGCCACCTTGGTACTTTGGCCCCTCTCTCTCCTTCTGGTCATACCCTCTAAGTGCGGTTTCGACATCGTCGACAAGGTAGCTAATATCTTCCGACGCATCAAGACGAAGAGCAAAGCCGTGTCTCGCCACCTCAGTGGAGAGCCAAGGCAAGGAATGGAGCTCGACAGATGGGAAGAGATCGAACTGGAAGAAGGAAACTCGAACGTTCTCCGAAAGAATACCACCATGAGAGACTTCATCAACCCCTTCGACGAGAGAGGTCGTTCCAGTACCCGCAGCTCAAGCGGATCCAACAATAGGGACCCGTCACCCACAGATCGTCAGACGCCCCCTTCAGCTACGGAGTTATCACCAGTCAAGTGGTATGAGACGCTTCCTTCACCTGCTGAAATGGAAGGAGCGTTTGACCAGGCGGGTCCCAGCAGCAGTGGTGGTCCGTCGTCGGCGGAAAGCAATAGCAGCGAAAGTCCATACTCCGACAACGTTGATGCTCGGCAACCGACGACGATTCCGGTTGGGGGTGTAGACGCAGCGTCATCGGATTCAAGCAGGAAGTCTAAGACGACACGCAAGTTGCAGACTATTCCGGAGCAGACCGAAAGGGTTGGAGGATGGGAAATAATGGTTCTCTAAGCAGATAGACTGCCGTACGGAAGGCACAACTGTTGGCTTGGGCTGGTTTCTGGCTTCGGAGATTTTCGGAGGTCACTTCTGGGATGGAAAAAGGCGCCATGGCATAGCGGGAGTCATTGTCGATCCCGCGATTAAGGGACTTGAGGCATGGCATTCTTACGCAAATATTACGTGTATCGATGAACGGAAAGTGTTCATTTCTCTAGCCCTTGAGTAGAAGAATCCCACCTATATGGGTCGCAATCGCCTCAACAAACTCAGTTCCGGTATTCTGGTGTCTCTTCGCTCTTCTATACTACCTAAAAGCCTTACCCAAAGTGTGTTCTGACCGTCAGAGCTCAAAAGATAGAAGGCAACTTTGTCACTGCTCCAATTCTCATCCACGTTGCCTCTGTAATGCAGCAGTCCATGACTTGAAGCCGTTCATAGGAATAGTACTCCTTGCAGGGATCAGGCTTCAAGAGGCACATCAGCATAGTGATATACCAGCCCTCAGAACCCTCTGCGCCCGGATGACCGTTGAGGGCCATGAACTCCATGTATAATGCCTTGGGACGGCTATCTCTCCAGGCACAATCCAGCCGAACAAAACCAATAGGGCCCTTTGCGTCGCAGGCTCCGTGATTATTGTGGTCTTTGGAATCGTAGGTCCTCAATGTTTGACCACCGTGCCGTGGATGTGTGTCATTTGGGTATATTCCATAGGGAGGCAGTAGAGAGAGCGACAGTTCGTTGCAGATAGCTGGGTATACAGCATAAAGCCCGTTCGAGCCCTCAATCTTCCTGGGCATTGAAGAGATGCGAAGATCTGTGATGCTTGCCACCAAGTCGAGAGAAGGCTTATTAAAGAACCCTGATACTATACTCGCAGGGAATCCGAAGATGTCATCCTTTACGTGCGGGATCATGGAGAGAGCAGCTGGCTTCCGAAAGCGATGGCTAGGATATCGCACCCCAATACCGCGCCCTACTACCACGATTTCACCTCGCTCATCTCCTGTCATTTGGCGCGTGTGGGCAGTTTTCAGTATAGCCCTGTCAAATATGACACTGTTGTCCCATCCGAGCCATGACCAGCTGGGAAAGTTTGGATTTCGTACTTGCGGGCGATGATCTGCTGTCCGCCAGCAAATGGCCTGGTCGAAGGCGCATGTTGGCAAGCCGTAATGAAACGTTGATTCTTCCCCGTCAAGGCTTGCTTTGAACTTCTGGATAACGCCTTGGAAGGCTGGGATTTTGTCTTCGCGTTTTGTGAGAGCGCGTTCCGAGTAGTGCTCTGCAGCACACAAGAAGGTTTCCAGCTCTTCTCCTGGAATGATACCTAAAAGGCCTCCTACCCGCTGCGACCTGTGGAGAGCCGTGTTTGCCTTGGATTCGGCAAGACGAGTACCGTCTAGCTTGGTCGTTGTTTCTTGGCACTGCAGAAACACCCCAGCTGACGTGAAGAGAACGGCCCGGTGTGAGAGTACTTTCTCTTGGTAACACCAGCCCCGATTTCCCCAAGGCGAACGTTCCAAGATAATATCCAGCTCATCGATAGAGTCGCATGTTGTTGAAGATCTTACCGTGGTGGCTCCTTGTAGCCCCGTTCCGGCATTCTCTGCTGAGACTGCTGTAATGGTAAACTTGGCGGCGGAGTAAATCCCGCGCATTCGCAATATTTGGATCTTCACATCGCGGAGAGAATCCTGGACTATGCAGAGCGCGTCAATCCAAAGATATCTTTCCCCGACAGTTTCGCACACGAGTATGGCGTCTCTTATTGTCGTGGGTATTTTCCCCCAGATCGAATCTAGCCCATAGTCGCGCGAGTAATCATCAATATTTGCTTCTTCCAGTTTGGGCTGCTTGACACCACCCCAGACATATGTTAGAATGGCAAAGGAGCACCCTTCAGGGGCGACGACAATGCTTCTCTTGTGAATGTCAATGAGTCGAAAGCAGATGCCAGGGAGATTATGCCATCGTAATGGATTTGCGATGCAATGTTTGTGATCAGGACGTTCCTCGCAGTCTCGTAGCCAGCCATTGATGGGCTTCAACTGGGCTGTTGTAATCGTGCACCTAGTTCTCGAAGCGAAGAAGGATTTACTATCCTCCCTAGTCCTCGAAAGGTCTTGCCGTGTACTTTGTTGCTCCTTCTCATTGATACCGTTGACGCCCGACGTCGGTGTCGATCTTTGTGCGAGCAACCCAATAATTCCTTGTGGTTGTTCATCCTCCCAGAAGTCATCTTCGTCGTAATCCTGCCAAGGACACTGCAAACAGTCCTCAGGCCACAGAGTCTCATGAAGATTGCGGATAGCTTTCCATAGAAACCCATCCCATTTCCCATCAGAACTAGGGTAGAGAGATCTTAGTCGCATCCGGGTGTCACAGGCAGCAATTTAGAGGGGACCAACTAGACTTTGATGCCTCGCGGGCATAGAACGGAAGCCCTTAACAGTATAGAAGCGACAGGGAGGTCGTATGGCTTTTCCGCTGTTTTCATGACCTGCCTTTGATTTTGGTCTTCACGACAAAACTGAAAATTGTCGTGGCCGTAAATTCCCGCCCCGTTGAAACAAATGCCTTCGTCCACGCTCGTGATTGGTGAGGTGATGATATCAGTAGACTCTGACGGCCCGGTCAGGAAGACATCCGATGCTTCTATGATGAGCAGAGCATCTTGAACCAGCTGAGGCCAGATGGCTTGCCAGACTGGGCTGCCCCAGTCTTTGACCTTGTAATAGTGCGTATAACTGCGATACCTGGATCAGTACTGATTCTTCGCATGACATATACCTGACAGTGGCTTACCCCATGATAGGTACTTCAGTCTCGGAGCTAGCCTAGATCACGGATGAAGGACAGTTTAGGCTTCGAGAGTGGCCAGCAATATGGATACTAAAATACTTTATGCATGTGCTCCACATCTCCTCTTATCTAGATGTCAACGAGAATGAAGATCAGGCAGCCGAGCGGCACAGAATGCAGCCAACAGGCGCACATTAACCGTCGAGGAAAGTGTAAGAAGTCCTCACCTAGCCCTAATGGTCATTTGCACGTTCATGTTGCAGTAGCCAACAGGACGCCTATATAGGAAAAAAGAAGGGTAATTCCGAGAGAA